TCCTCACGCACCTACAGTGTTGGGTTATAACCACGCTCTGACTCTGCTCGGTTATTACTGTGTTGCATTACGTAGCAACACTATACGATTAACACTGTATACCACTGATGGGGGGGGGGGGTGAATGGTGGTGGTGAATGGTGATCGTGATGACTAAAACGTCAAGAACTGAATCAATGATACCATTAAAACCAACTACGATTGCAATGATGATAACGATACATACACTATCACCAACATTCCCGTGGACTACCCCCATCAACTCCCTCCTCGATGCTTGTGTTACACGATCCTTCCCTGGAGACAGACAGGTGCTTCTAACACACAGTTGTCAGCTGCCGTCACGGCCAAACTACTCGAGCTGTGTACGGTTGAGAGAAAGACGGAAATGGGCAGTTCCCGTCCCTTTCAATTCGATAATTTTCCATTTCCTTTCTTGTTCGTCATATTTCTTATTCTTCTTCATCGGTTTCCCTCAGTTTCTCTTTTCTTATCGTTCACTTGAGCATCTGAATTTCCTATTTTCTTATCGTTCGCTTGAGCATCTGAATATTGTATTCATGTAACTCGTTTACCTTATAAATTACGTTTTTGTGTTTTTTTTTCTTTTTTATTAGCTTTCTCTTCATTCATAAAAGGTCAGATTCTGAACTTATCCTTAGGCTATGCGTTGAGTATAGGTAGGCCTATATTATTTAGGTAGATCTTGGTTTGCCAGACAGCATGGGAAAAATTATGTCTTCTCTTTTCTTTTTCCCGTTTTTTAGCTTAACTATTTTTCTTCTACTTCTACTACTACTACTACTCTCTAATAGTATTACCCCTACTTCCACTATTACTACTACTACTTCTACTGCCACTATTACTATTCGAGAAATTTCTTGACTAAGGAAATATTCTACGAGCATATCCAAGCTACGATCGGAACTATAAAAGTGTAATTTAGGAAAAAAATAAATAAATAAATAAATAATAATAAAATCGTTTTTTTTTTTTTTTTTTTTTTTTGGGGGGGGGTAATTGACGCTCCTGACGACTACTCCTGTCTCTTTTTCGTCTACCTCTGCCCTTCCACCTCTTTCTATCACTGGTCGCTCTCTCCCTCGTCATCTATGCTTCTTTCAACACCACACGTTAGTCCACTTTCTCATTCATGCATTACTTTCCGTGTTCTTGAATTTTCTCTTCATAAAGTGCATCTCCAATAACATCAATCACTTGTCGTTTATGTCAGCTTGGTGACAGAAAGCATACCTGATCTGTCATACAGAAATATGAACACATATATAGGCCTGTGAGTGTGTGTGCGTGTTACTATGTATGTATATGTATGTATGTATGTATGTATATGTATATGTATGTGTATGTGTATGTGTATGTATGTATATGTATATCTATATCTACATCTATATCTATCTATATCTATATATCTATATCTATCTATATATCTATATCTATCTATATCTATATATCTATATCTATCTATCTATATATCTATCTATTATATCTCTATATATCTATATATCTCTATCTATCTATCTATCTATCTATCTAATCTATCTATCTATCTATCTATCTATCTATCTATCTATCTATCTATCTATCTATCTATCTATCTATCTATCTATCTAATCTATCTATGCAAATCACTATGTTTGGAAATCGCCAGTTCCCTTCCGCCTATCACCCGTTCTGCCAAATCCCCCGAAAGCAGCGCGGATCCCAAGGCCAAACGAGCAATTGCGGCTGCATACAACGACCACTTTTGATTGCCCTTTGAGTGACTTCCTCAGTCCATGAGTCCGTGTCCATTGCAACTCTCCTTCTGTTATCCAGTTGTGCTTGGTCTAGTTTATTCAATTCATTTGTTTTCTGGTTCGTCTATCTCGCGTGTTATTTTTATTTATTTTATTTTTTTAATCTTGTGTGATTTGATTTGTCTTATCTTTAAAACAGTTTCATATCGTTTTCATCATTTCATTTTATATTCGTTACCATTACCTTCTGTATTCACATATCCTCTATTTCAGATTTCTCACGTACTTTTTCTATTTCCTTGAGTTCATATGTCTACTTGCCCAGTTCTTATACTTTATCAATACATATCTTTCTCTTCACATTTCCGTGTCTTCAACCACAGTGATTTACTCCCCTTCTGGCTGACTTCCTTGCCTCACTTCCGTTCATTATCAAGGTAATTCATATCCTAGAAGGCTTTCCTGCATGTCTGTGCAATGGGAAGTGTACAAGGAACAATTTCATTTCCCCATGGCCAAGAGAGAACAGTTATCCATTACTAACAAGTTTTTTTTCGAAACATCTCACACATCCTATGTATATTTTAAACCGAGACAATCACACATCCTATGTATATTTTAACCGACACATCTCACACATCCTATGTATATTTTAAACTATCACACATCCTATGTATATTTTAAACCCTCAATAATCTACTTCTATCACAAGAATTTAATCTTTAAAAAAATCCTTTAGCAATATACTTCCAGCTGGTCACTTAGTCACGCAGCTGAAGCATTGCACATGCGTGAAGTCACACTAAATTCCTTCTTTTTATTCAATACCCACGTGTTTACACTTGCACAGTTTATTTTCTATCTTCTGTTCTCTCTCTTTGTGGTTTTCTTTTTCTTTACTCGCGTCTTTCAATTCTATTATATTATTTTAAATCAAGCGAGTCTTCCCTTTTCATGTATTCCGTTATCTTAAATTAAATTATCGTTATTTTTTTCTAGCCCAATTCTTCCACTTATCAATCTTTTACTTGACCTTTCTATCAAATTATCCTCTCTGTCTCTCTTCTCGCTCTTCCTATTTTTATCCTGTCTTCCCTTTTTTACAATCTTACTTCCTCATTCTCCAGACTTTCCTGGCACTCAAGGAGGGGGGAAAAATGTTGCCAGATAACCTCCCCTCCTGCGGTGCTCTGGCAAAGGCGATATCATTACAACCCATTTTGCAATCGTCGTCATTTGTTTTTATTGCAATGTTTGAGTTGGCGAGCGTCGAATAAGAGCGGTTTTATTCCTGGCGTCGAGAAAGAGCCGTGGTTTTGGTCCTGGCGACAGAGGCTCAAGGACTTTGGTCATGTGGAAGGAATTGTTGCGGTATCCTCTGATCGAAGGATAAGACAGTTCCATGGTTATATCAAGTGGATATAGGATACTGGGTGAAGTATTCTAGGGAGTTATACAATATTGAACTGGATACCTATTATTACTATTATTATTATTATTATTAATTTTCATTTTTATCTTTTTTTATTATTATTTTTTTTTACATGGCATGTCCTATACTTCATTTTAAACCCTCAATAATCTACTTCTATCACAAGAATTCAATCTTTAAAAAATCCTTTATCAATATAGTACCAGCTGGTCACTCTTAGGGAATGAATGAAGGGAAGGACACGATACAACGACGCAGCCCCCTAGGAGTCACAGCCTCATATGATCAATGGTGATGGATGTTCTTTGTCCTTCCCCCCCCCCCCCCCCTCTCCTCCCCACCTATCCACTCCACTCCCTCCCATCCCCTTCCCTTCTACTCTTATATATCCCAGCAATCTCTAACCCATCCCCCCCCCCTACTCTCACCCCCCCTTCCTCCTCCCCCCCTGCCTTACCTCCAACCTCATCTTCATCATTTCCCTTCAACCCCCACTCCCTCCCTCCCTCCCCTCCCTCACCCACCCACCCCCCCTCCTCCTCCCTCAAACCATCTGCCGGATTCCTCTTTCGATGACGACACACTCGCGTCCTCACAACAACCTCGCCTCACCCTCCCCTCGCCTCCTCCTTCTCTTCTCAAAAATATATATGTTAACGTGAGGTTGTAGCGATGACAAAGGGAATGTGACAAAAAAAAAAAAAAAAAAAAAAAAAAAAAAAAAAGTAAAATGATGTGTTGACTGGCACATGCTCGATGACGTCATCTTTGTGTTATTATGGACGTGGTGATTGTAATAACAGTTGTAGCATGTTGGAGAAATCTCGGAGTGTGGTGGACGTGGTCGAGACCTAGCAATTGGGTTTCTTGAGCAACCAAATTCCTATGGTTTACAATACGTACACATGCGCGTGGATACAGACACACAGACACTCACAAGCATGTATGTGTGGTGAGTTTGAGCGTGTGCGTGTGTGTGTGTGTGTGTGTGTGTGTGTGTGTGTGTGTGTGTGTGTGTGTGTGTGTGTGTGTGTGTGTGTGTGTGTGTGTGTGTGTGTGTGTGTGTGTGTGTGACATGTTTGTTTATATTTGTATGTATGTGAGTATATATATGTATGTTTGCGTGAATGTGTGTGTATGTATATGTGTATGTGTATGAATATATGTATGTATATGTGTATGAATATGTGTGTGCATGTAATTGTATTTGTTTACAATACACAATACACGTCTTAGCAGGGCCTCTTCAGGTTGCATGAGTCATACATCAAACAAAAACAATTTTAATCGTCTCAGAGTGTTCATCAACAAGTATTATCCCCTATGGATGTATGAGAAGGATTACTGTGCAGGTTTTAATCACCTTTATTTTAAACAAGATTATTTAATTGCTAAGAGTATTTGACGAAAGCATTTGTTGAGAATCTCTTGGCCAATATTTTATTTTCAACTATCGATAGGAATTTGTGAATTTCCAGAAACTAACGATAATGATAATACTACTACTACTAATAATAATAATGATAACAACAATAACATTAATAATAATAACGCTAACGCTAACGATAAAGATCATGATGTTGATGTTGTCGATATTGATATTGAAGGTGATGGTGATGGTGATAATGATGATGATGATGATGATGATGATGATGATGATGATGATGATGATGTGATGATGATGATGATGATGATGATGATGATGATGAATGATGAAGATGAATGATGATGATGATGATGATGATGATGATGAAGATGAAGATGAAGATGAAGATGAAGATGAAGATGATGAAGATGATGAAGATGAAGAT